TTTACACCACATTCCAAGCACTATTGCAGAGTCACACCTTTTTTGACACGAGGTAGCATTTAGCTGCATCGGTCAACTTGAATCACTTGCCACACACCTAAGGTCCTAGCCGCTCTCAGGGCTGCGACGGAAGTAGGCAGGCTTGTCCGGTGTAGGGCCATCGATCGTTTTGCCAAGGTAGCCGACACCTTCCACGTCAGCGGAGGGCTGCTTGGAATCCCATTCCAGGAAGGCAATCCACACAACGATGATTGGCACGAAGATGACGATGGCATCCACTTTGCTGAAGCTGTCCGAAGCCTGGTCAGTGGCCAAAGCAGGGGCAGCAGGCAGTGCTGCAAGGACTGCGCCTGCCACAGCAGCTTCCTGACCACGCAAAGCTGGCTTGTTTGGACCTGCCAAGAACGCTTGGTTCAACGCAAGCAGTCCGAAGGCAAGCAGGGCCACGGACAGCAGAACTGGTGCTCTTCGAGCCATGGTCGTGGCAAGGGGCTTCCGACTGAAAAAGGAACCCTCGATCTTGAACAAAAATACTTGCGGTCAGTCGTACTTGGCTGCAATTGGACTTCAGAATGCACTGAAGTCTTGAGGCGAGAAACGTCTTCACATTCACAATGGAAATGCTGCTCAGAATGTACGTTTGCTTGAACTATATTATATGCCTGGCAATCTGTAGAAATCTGTCTGCGAGCTTGTGTGCTTGATGCAATTGGGTCTGGGCTAGTCATGAGGATCATGTTTCTTGTGAACTTGATGCAGTTTGGCTTGAGCAAGTCCTTCTTGTGGGAGAAATTGTCTTCGCCAAAATCCACCATGGCTATTTGTTGTCCATTCTATTTGCTTCTCTCAGGTTTGGAGGAAAAGAGGAGAAGAAGGAGAGTGGGACGAGAAGGGCGAAGCAACACCGATGAACAAACACATGAGAGCCTCTAGCACTCTCTAACAGTCTGCGGGGAAGAGGAAAACCATGGAAACCCTCAACGCCAAGTGGTCTCAAATGTCCATCCCTGAAATAATGTGCTATTTCGTTCAACAAACATCAACAAACCAGAAAACCAAAACATCCTTGAAAACCAAACCAGAAAGCGTTTTAGGTCTTTTCACTATGAAAAGTACCAGAACGACAAATGTGGCGAGATGTGTGAGGTAGAAACAGAACATGTCTGCACGCACACTGAGGAACCAGGTGCGCGAAATGCTGAGGTGTTGGTGCGCTGCCAACAAAAAGCTCTACAAGGTCGCAGCTGTGAGAAAATATTGCTGAACTCGCAGCTCATGTTTCTCGCCTATTTCTGTCATGGTTTTTCTGTTTACAAAAACGCGTGCGGTCAACTGAGGGAAGGAAGTCATGGTCCAATGCAAAAGGAACGGATTGTGTGACTTTGTAGCTAGGCCTTTCTCAGTTGCCGTTGCATTGGTGGAAGCTAGCCGTGGTTGCACTCGTTGGTGCCAAAGTCAGTTAGCTCACTGCTTCGCTAGCACAAGCACGCTCTGCTAGCACCTCGAAACCCACCTATCTGTGCTGATCAATCTCAAACGGAGCTCAACACGCGTGATTTGCTGCAGGACCCACCCACTTGCCACTTGGCTTGCTCAGCTCAACCCTCTTGGCAAGCATACCTGATTCAACACTTAGCCAGTTCCCCAATGCTTACCTGAACCGTGCTAGTTCACCTCTTACCTGTGCTGACCCTCATGCAAAAGTCACTTCGACTGACCTGGACTCCTGACCAACTAGGTCAGCCTAGAGGGTGCGCAATGAATCCCCCCGTGAACATAAAACAACCCTCTCTTGCAAATTCTCTAAGACCGAATTGCGTTCCAATTTTGACACCCTTTCCTACCCGGTCCTACCCAATCAAACAGCCTGAGTGTGCATGCAAGAAGGGCAATACCTTTTGACATGTTGCACAAGGTCATGTAAAAACATAAGGATTGGCTACAAGAAAGAACGGGGAGGTTTTCTTTCACCCGTCCAACTGAACAGTCGAGTTTCCTGCATGGACTTGCGAACATGCACTGCTGGAAACTGCATTGGGTTGAGCCGGCTAAGGCATCTGGTGCCTTTGTCTCTGGGCGCTCTGTGCAAAATGTGCTTGCCTTTGTTTCGGGTCGCTCTCCGTGAAAATCTCAGACGAAGCCAACCACGAAGCCATGGGGCCCATGGGACCCTTTATCGGTCGACAGAATTGTGAGCCTGTGGGGCCCACAAAGCCCGCGGAGGATTTCTCTGCGCACGCAGCCCTTGGAATTGGACTTGGAATATCACAAATGGTCGCGTCCTGAGAAGTCCTGCAAGAATGGGAAATGAAAACCGTGTTTGACAGATTTGGAATCACTTGGCGGCAGCATCTCCCAGCTCAATCGTCATACCTGCTGGGCTTCCAGCACCCTCCAAATCAGCCCAAAAGAATCGTCTGGCCATCTTCAAGGGCAAAATGCATCTTGCCCAGGGCCCCATGAGTGCTATATGCACAGCAAGTAGTGTATAGCGCCCATACATCTTGGCACCAAATGCATGCCAGAGTTGGAAACAGCAGCTTGCTGCCAGAGCCAAAGTCATGTAGGACCTGATTGAAGGGATCTTTTCTGCGGCACGTTTGAGGGGCTCTTTGGGAAGATGTCCAAAGAAACTGAATCAAGAACGAACTAGACGACAGGTGGCCCGATAGTGAAGAAAAATGATAGGAAGGAGGTTTGAGAAGAACATGAAGAAGATTGTGAATGGGGGGAAGTGAAGGGGACAGTAAAGTGCAGGTAAAGGTGAGAGAAAGGAAGGATTTACAGCACGCGCTGCGATATTCGAAACCATCAAGAAAGGATCCGCAATTTCCTCAATGGGCGCGAATTCCACACACTCCACGACATCACCTGCTTCATCACTGACCCACTTCCGAGTACCAGCAGTTTGCTCATCATACTTCTACTGTCTACAAACACGTACAAGTCACGTTTGATGTCAAAGCGCCCTGCCAGATCTGCGCAACAGTGACAAAGTCGACAGCTAATCCTTCACAACGCAAACGCATGTGTTTCATCCTTGCCTCCAGGAGCAAGCGCGAACAATCCGCTCATCACATGGATCTTCTGTCTACAAACACCTAGATTTTACATTTTATGCCAAAGTGCCCCACAAGAACTGTGTGACAGTCAAAATAGTTTCGCTCTTCTTTTAATTTACAAACGGCGAATCCTCAAAGCACCCCTTCACAGTGTCAACACATCCCTTTCACCACTGCCTCAGTTCACTTGCCAGCTATCCGCTCATCACTATAGATCTACTCACCACGTGTCACGCCTCATGACGAAGTATCCCACAAGCCTCTTGCAACATTTAAAAGGTTCCACATCACATGTCATGTCAAAGCGCCCACAAGATCTGCGCTACAGTCACAAAGGCTTCCAAATGTTGCAAATGCCAATGCACATTGCTACTTTTCAAAGTGCAGCTTCACAGTGTCAACACACCCATAAAATTAAAAGCATGGACATGCTTCCAGATAGCACAATCTTCATGTAGACAGCTACTTCTCAATTGCCCCTTGACAGTGTGAACACACATGTAGAAACTAGAAACACGCAGCAAATCGTCAATTTTCATGTCAAAGTGCCCCACTAGACCTGCACAAACAATCGCGAAGTTCAACGTCAACAGCTAATTTCAATACTAGTAGTAGCTTCTTGCTCCTAGTAGCGATGCCAGGAGCCCCTAGTAGCGAACATTGCTCCTAGTAGTAAGGCCAGGAGCCCCTAGTGGCGTCCTTGCTCCTAGTAGCGATGGCCTTCAACCTACTAGCGATGCCATGTTTTTCAGAAGAACCCTTTGATCAAACACTCTGGGGAAAAACCACTTTCGCACCTTGAAAGGGTGGCACTTTGGTTCATGGCGTCCAACGGCACTTGCACATTGAAGCTCCGGATTCCTCACAGAACGACCCTTTTAGCACAATTGAATTACGTTATCTTGCACTTCGACCTCTTCCGAAGCCAAAAATGAAAACAAAAATTTGTTAAATGGAAGTATTCTGTGTGCGAGCACTCTTCACCCGTTGTATTCAAGGACAAAAAGCATTCAACTATCTTTATCTTGATTCTGAGGTCAATATACAGCCCACACACGCCAATGGCTGATCAAACGAGATGCCAACGTCGAAAAGGAAGAAATTGGCCGCCGTTGCGCTGAGAATGCAAAGGCTCAGCAAAGGTATGAGTGGGCTCCAGAAGAAAAGAACTTCCTTGCACAAACAGCCATGGCTCTCTACTTCTTTCCGGCTAGCGCTTCAACCACACATTTGGTGAACTTATCAAACCAGTGTCTGCACTTCAAGGCAAGAAATACAGATATACAACTGTAACTATACAAACAGAACATTGGTTGAGCGGGTTTCAGCCTTGGCTCCATGAAGGTTGTGAGGAGGGCAGTTTGACGCAGAGGCACCAAAGACCCAGTCACTTTGAGGCCTCCCAAAAGCCTGAGGTGGCGCCCCTTCTGAGCATTTAAAGGCGCGCAAGATGTATCCAGCCGCGAGGAATACCAAAGCGGCAATAACACCAAGGGCACCACCACGCTCCGGACAAGCAACTTTTTCCTAAGAAAAGACTAGAAACTGGGCGCTACTGTTGAGAGTAGTCCATCTCACCAACTTGCCATATTGTTCAAAACATAACAAAAATTTCGATAATCAAAAAAAAACTGACCCACTACGCTCAGCGTGGATTTTCTGGGACGAGTTTAGGTGCATGGCGTGCATGGTGTGCATAGACGACTGAGAAGTGATGGACGATGAGACTTTTCTTCCTTTTTTCCTTTGTTTCTTGTAACAATGGCCTCCACCCTACTAGCGGGCCTCCAACCTACTAGCGATGGCATCCGCCCTAGTAGCGTCCTTGCTCCTAGTAGCAGTGGCCTCCACCCTAGTAGTGATGGCTTGCAACTATTGCGGTCCGCACACGCCACAAGCGGCTGTTCGCGCTTTGATCACACCACCAGGGTCAGCCCTTTTATCCGCACCGGCGTATGATTCTTGTTGCTTCAGCGGCTGACTTCAGCGAAGTGGTCCATTCTAGGCTCAGGAGTCAGGAGGCCCGCGTATGTTCGTCAAATTGTCTCGATTTTGATGCATGCTGCAGTGCGTTGTAAAACGCTGCAGTTTAAATTTAGTTCCCAAAACAGTGTGGTCACACTAGGGGTTCTTATGGTACTGGCTGAGGGCGGGTGTCTAATCGAGGTGTCGCGCGCTCATGCCCGGCAATTCGTTGCTGTTTTCAGTACATTCATGTCTCTCGAATCCTCGAGGCGCATTTCGACTGCGCAGGCTCGCCGAATCTGGTGGGCTGGCGCAGACGCTTGTCGCGACTGCGCATTTTCGGGCATGGTGGTCACTTTTCGTGGCAGGCGCAAGGGAAACCTTGTGTTTTGGAGTAACTTTTCATGACGGTTTCACTTGGAAATGCAGTTTTGGTGGCAGGTGCAGCACTTTGGATATGGTGGTGATCTTCGACGCGCTCTAATTTCGTGACAGGTGCAATGAATCGTGACTTTTCTACATGTGGGTCGTTTTCAGAAATCGTGGTAGGTGCTGTGCTTGATGGACCTTCAAGTGCACCTTTCGTGGCAGGCGCAGTACTTTGTGGACCTTGCAGTGCGCATTTTGTGGCAAGTGCACTTGAAGTGCAAATTTTGTTGCAGGTGCGAATTATTTTGCGGGCCTTGAAGTGCAGATTTCGTGGCAGACGCGGTACTTTGCGGACCTTGAAGTGCAGATTTCGTCGCAGGCGACATACTTTGTCAACCTTGAAGCGCAGGTTTCGTAGCAGGTGCACTACTTTGTGGGCCTTGAAGCGCAGATTTCGTAGCAGCACCATCACCACCCACCACCATCACCACCATTATCAGCACAATCTCCACCATCATGACCACACCACCACCATCACCACGATCTCTACCTTCATCACCACCATCACCTCTCTAAACCCCAATGCGTCTAGATCTCTAAACTTTCTGCTGCTACACCTCTAGACCTCACACACACACACTGTTTGGGGTCTCTCGCCGGGACAATGCTTCTTTTGTGCCTTTGCGTTGTGTGCAGTCAGTCGCAAGATGCAAAAGGAATCACATCACTGCTTTCTTGAAGAAATACTGTGTATAGATACAGGTGTCTTGCGCGCTCAACTTTGAAAAGATCTCGCTGCTAAGGTCTTGGGCCTCTGAAGGTGTCCACAGCGTGCTACAATAGTATTTACACTGTTGTTGATGAGTGTCTGTGTGTGTGCGCGTGGGTGTGTGTGTGTGTGTCCCACCCTGGACAAAGGGTCTTTCACCACCACTCTTTC